TTCTTGTAATATTTTTGAGAAATTGTAATGTCATTCTTGTTTTAAGGATATATTTAAATGTAAATAATTGTTTTAATATTATTTTCTAATTAATTTATATTCAATTATTATTTATTTGATATTACTTAATAAATTGACTATTGTTTCTGCAGCTCAAATTAAAGCGAAAACAGCTAGAAATGAAAAAAAAATGCATAAAGGAATAGCAATGTGTACGTACAAGTAGATTTACAAAGTAAATACACAGCATGTACATGTAATTTTATATTACTCATTACTTATGAATAATGAGCAACTCATTACTTATTAGACTGTACCATGAACGCTGTTAAAAAAAGTTATTTGAACATTGGTGAATCATACTTCTTAATAAAAACCTTGTAATTCCATTATTACCGAATTACAATCATATCATTATCCTCTTGAGGAATTCAAATGGATTGGTTATTGTCTTAAACAATCATTGTATGGGAAAGCTAGCTGTTCCTTATTAACAATTATGTTGTCTGAAACATTCCCTGAGATGCAAGCAACCCAACACTATTTAAAACGTGTTCTTGTACACTAGTACGGTTGACTAGTTTACCTACATTTGTTTTCTTCTATTGTTTTTAGTCTTGAAATGATTAGCCATTGTGTTTTCATTAGCATGGTGAAGACTGCAGACAGTTTGTGCTGTAAAACCCACTCGGAAATGTTACGTATTTAAATGAATCGCTTCTGAAAGAGGCTAACTGCTGCATTATGAGTGTGAACAAGACATGTACTCACCATGGTAACCACACACAAGTCTTCAAGTTTGTGACTGTATCAGCTTGAGAAAAAAATATCACCAGTGGGGAAACACTCTTGACACCTAAGACAGAAAAACACCCAGCCGCTTGATGATTATAAGGTGCTAAAGCCTGTCTAAAATAGTTTATCTAAGCACATTGTTTTAATAACAGCCAACACTCACTTAAATGTTATTTCTGTGTATTTACACTAGCAAAAATGTAATTACATTTCATAACTACCACAGAGAACAAGTTTTTCATTTAGATGCTTTCATTTTAGAGAAACTACGTAGGCCTAGGGATGCATTTTCATTGCATGGCTTACCTGCTTTATCAGTCCACATTTTATTGTATTTTCACTAAATTTGCATTGTGCCTCAGGTACGAACATACTAAACCTGCCAAGCAAGACGAAGTCCCTAGTTCTAAGCCGCTGGTGCCGCTGACCGCTGCTCCCCTTGCTGGCACTCCTGAACCCGTGTCTGATGGGCCAGGTGGTACGACCGATGCCCAGGAGAAGCCCCAAGGCTTGGGGGCAGTGGACTGGGTCAATGCTGCTGAGTTCGTGCCAGGGCAGCCCTACTGTGGGAGGGGTGAGTGTAGCAGGGAAACATGTTCAGTTGTCAATCTGTGAAAACACTGTGATAAGCCAGGCATTCAGTTTTCAATATGAAGGCTCAGTTTTACAATTAGGCTTTTATTTTATATCTATTTGTTTGACCAATGCTTTGGTTTGTCATAATAACGCTGTAACTGTTGTGGTGGTTACTAGTTTTGTGGCATGCTTCTTCAGTGGTGTTTACAAGAACCAAAGGAACTGATTTTCACTTCCTGGAAAATAAATTAGACAAAATGTATCTGGATTCTCTTACTCTGATCAATACTCTGATGTGCATTGAACTGCATTCCTTGGATATCGAAAAACCATGAGCTTGGGATGAACACCAAGGAATGCTGTGCCGACACACACCGTGAAGCCATCGCTAAACCTAAAAACGGGGGTAAAATTACTGCAACATGAAGAAAATAATGCCACTGTTCAATAAAAAAAATTGCATTTAGAAACAGGAATTCTTCTGTGTAGTAATGTTGTTATTGTAAATCAAAACAAACTATTTTATTTCAGGTTTATTTAAATTAAATAAAATGATTTTAAACTATACAAATTATACGGGGGAAACTTAAGAAAATTACTAAAGCTGAAATAAAAATAAACGCTAAATGTAAGAAATCTAAAGAAATGACAAAAGCACATAAATTTGACTTTAAAATGACATTCAAAATGTAAATGAATACTATAATATATAAATAACACTGCCGTGGCGTAATGTAGCTCATTAACTGTAGGCTTTTTACAGTTGCCAAGCAATGTAGCAACTCTTATAGAATGTTTGGCCACAGGTGTGCATTTATCGCCATTTCATGACTACTTCAAATGTGGCACATATGATCAGAACTAGCCGTTTTATAATGCATAAATAATCACTAAACTTGGACTGACCCTGCACACGCAGCAGAGCTCAAGCTGTGCTGTACCAGTGTGCTCTCTTGTTCTTGTTGGCCCAGACCCACTTACATTTTTCTTAAAGGGTGACTTCATCAGCAAAGAGCTGAAGGAACAGTGCTGTTTCTTTCCTAGTCTTTGGGGGGCGGCACAAAACTCCTACGTTCAGGAAAGCAGGTGCTTTTCCTCCAGCGTTTACTGTGGTAGACCACATTACGAAACCGCCAAATACGTCAATAAATCTTGCCGTTTCTTTTTCAAATTTCTTTCAGGTCATTTGTGTGAAAATCTGAAGGACTGAATTTTTTTTCAAATAATTTCTGTCGTTTGTGGTGTCTCCTTTAGATTGTAAACAAAAAGATTGGTATTCTTCAGCCTACACCACAATAACGTGGTTGATTTTCTATCCCTATCCCAGGAACCTGGTCTTTAAACCTTAAAGGGTTAGTTCACCTAGGCTTTTATTTTATATCTATTTGTTTGACCAATGCTTTGGTTTGTCATAATAACGCTGTAACTGTTGTGGTGGTTACTAGTTTTGTGGCATGCTTCTTCAGTGGTGTTTACAAGAACCAAAGGAACTGATTTTCACTTCCTGG